ACCGCCCTGTCGCTTATCTGTCAAAACACCTGGACATTTCTTCACAAGGCTGGCCCCAGTGTTTAAAAATTCTAGCAGCATTATGCTATTACTGCAGGAGGCAAACAAGTTAACCTTTTCAGCTCCAGTGACTGTTTACACTAGTCATGCCTTGCAGACAATCATTGACAATAAAGGACATTTATGGATAAGTAATCAACGAATGCATAAAATACAGGCTCTTTTATTAGAAAATCCACAAGTTACACTGCAACAATGTTCAACTTTAAACCCAGCAACTCTAATGCCAATTCCTGATTCAACCAAACCTGTTCATGACTGCATGCAAACAATAGAACTACAATATTCTTGCAGACCTGACCTTACAGACCAACCCTTGCATAATCCAGACTATCAATGGTTTACTGATGGTTCTAGTTTTATGGATAAAGGATGTAGATACTCTGGTTACGCAATAGTTTCTCAAACTTCTACTGTTGAATCAGCACAGTTGCCTAGTCAAGCCAGTTCACAGTTTGCAGAATTATATGCCTTGACCCGTGCATTAGAAGTAGCAGCGGGAAGGACTTTAAATGTATATACAGATAGTAAATATGCATTTTTGACAATACACGCACATGCGGCTATCTACAAAGAGAGAGGATATTTGGATTCCACAGGCAAAGTTATCCAATATGCAACTTTGATTAAAAGACTTATCAAGGCAGCACAATTGCCATCCAAAGTTGCAATCATCCATTGTCCTGGACATCAAAAAGACTCAAGCCTTATTACCCAGGGCAATAGGAAGGCAGACAAAGAAGCAAAAAGAGCTGCATTAGAAGGTCCCCCTCTCCAATCAGATGTCACAAGGTTCATGTATCTAGACACTTACTTAGAACAACTTGATCCTACATATACGAGGGAGGAAACTCAAAAATTACAACAAGATGTACAAGCCAAACTAGTTAAAGGCTGGTACACTTTACCTGATGGACGCATTGCTGTTCCTTTGGCACTTGCTCGCCCACTTATTTTTCAGGCACACAAGCAACATCATTTGGGAAAAACTGCATTATTACAGCAACTTGAACGATTTTTTTATATTCCATTTGCTTCTTTGCTAATAGCAGATGTTTGTTCTCAATGTACCATTTGTGCCCAAACCAATGCACGCCAAGGACCAGTAATACCACCTGGCAGACAACCAATCGCTTATTTTCCTATGGACTATGTTGTTGTTGATTTTACTGACATGCCTAGAAGTAAGAAATATGTAGCATTGTTAGTAATAATTGATACCTATTCAGGATGGATTGAAGCATTTCCAACTGTAAATAAGAAAGCTATACAGGTTGCCAGAATATTTCTTAAAGAAATTATTCCTAGATTTGGTTGCCCTTCTAGGATTTCATCAGATAATGGCCCTGAATTTGTACACCAAATCAATCAGGCTTTAGCCCAAGCATTAGGAATTAAATGGAGATTTCATTGTGCTTTCCGCCCTCAATCGGCTGCTAGAGTGGAAAGATCCCATAGAACAATTAAAACACTTATTACCAAATTTTGTTTGGAAACTCATCTACACTGGCCAGATGTTTTGCCTATGGTTTTGTATGCAATCAAACTGCCCCCCCCCCCGCACTAAATTACAACTTAGTCCTTATGAGCTCATGTTTGGCTGTCCTCCTTGCCTGTTTAAACCTGACAGTCAAGGATGGCCCGATTTGGCACATAAAGGGGGAGTAGATCAACAGAAATTGTTACATCAGTTACAGCTTCATAATTTGGCCGTTTCAAAATTGCGCCATTATATGATGGAACAACAACCCCCTCCAGTAGTTACAACAACACATGGGTTCAAGCCTGGAGATAGAGTGTGGGTAAAGCACTGGAAATCAGATCCCTTGAGCCCAAGATGGAAAGGACCGTATACTGTTGTCATGTGTTCTCCTTTGGCAATGAAAACCCTGGAAGGAAAATCTTGGATCCATTGGAGTAGAGTGAAAGCAGCTGCACCTGCAGATCCGGTGACCTACAAGGTGGACAAGACTGACAAGCCTTTGGTGTTGAAATTTACAAGAAATACAGCAACGGGTTCCCAAGACACGGTGTGATCAACAACCTTGCTGAGACACCCCAGGAAGCTGTCTCTCTACGCACGGTGGAAGATATGAGGATTCTACAGCTCGTAATATTTGTTAATTATTTAATATGCACACACATTCCTACACAAATCAGTACAATGGCTACACGAGAGGTCATAATGCAGAAACCCTCTAATAAAGAATTATTGAGTAGCACACACCAAGAAAGAGCAGAAACACAGGGAAACCAAGGTTGTCAAAACTGTATCAAAACTGTATCAAAACTACAAAACAAGGAAACCAGATAACCAAGACTTTGATTTACCATACAGTTAAACCAGAAGGGTGCCAAAATAGTTCTCCTGACTCTTGTACATACAATAGAACTACATATAAAGTTTGTAGAAAAGGTGTCCAATATCAGTGTTATAACCCGAAGTCTGATCCTGATCGTTGGGCCTTACAAATCAAAACACATAGAACAAGAACTAGCTATAAGGACCAGGCACTCTTAGGGATCTCCCAATGGAAATCCAATCCACACTCCAGTTTTAGCGTCACGTTTGATGTTTGCAAAGCAGCTAATTATTGGACTCCAACATATGGTTCCAGAGGGATCGGTAATATTCACAACTTTATCCCAAAACATAAGTACTTGTGCCCACCAGATGGATGTGCGGTCAAATGTAAGTGGTGGTCATGTATTAAGTGGCATACCCAAGACCCAAAAGAGATAGACCACATCTTGTTTGAAAAGAATGAAACAAAAGCAGATTCCTGTGGAACGGATAACTGTAATTTGGTGACTCTCACAGTCAAGAATGGCAGTTGGTTCCTAGAACAGAATAGGTGGGAAAGTAAGAAATGGATGTTTGGGATAGGAATAGATACAAATGGCTATGACCCAATGTCAGAAATAGAAGTCAAAATTATAACTGCAACCAAAAGACCAGAACAAAAATCATTATTTTGGTCATATTATGAGGAAATGGAGAACCTACATATTCCTGAAGTATCTAGACATGTAACCAATACCTTTGTTAAGTTAGCAGAAGACATTGCCCATACTTTAGGCGTGTCTAACTGTTTTGTGTGTGGTGGAACAAACATGGGAGAAAGGTGGCCGTGGGAGGCACAAGAGTTAAATTATACCAAGGTACTAGAAATGTCTAAAAATAATAATTTAACCTATACAAGTGGGAAAGATGGTGATTGGGGTCTCACTTCCAACTTGGTAGGACATGTATGTTACTCAAGAAACAAAACAGAATCTTGTGTAGCAGTAGGTGACCTCCTATGCACAGGGACATGGGAAGATGGTAAATGGTGGGAACCAATGAGACCACTGCTATGGATCCTGGAATTAACAAGGCTGCTATGACTATGAAGGTTTATAGGCCTGCAAGTCTTGTTAATTCTAGGGTGTATTTTAATTCCTTGCTTGATCCCCTGTCTTATAGCCATGATTCGGAGGATCTCAGAAAGTACAGCCCAATTAACAGCAAAATATGAAATAATGTTAGCCTTATGGGAATATAAAATGGTACCTTCAGGAGATCCAGAATCAAAGGTAGAATAATGGAAGTTTAAGCTAAAAAAAATTTCCAAAAGGGGGGAGTAAAGTGGGAAAGAAATAGAATAACATAGAATAAAGAAGAATAAAGTATAATAATAATAATAATAATAATAATAATAATAATAATAATAATAATAATAATAATGAAAAATCACTAAAAGCAAAAATCATGTGTCTGCATAATCTCTGAAAGAAAGCTGTGTTGGCCAAAAGCTGTATTAACAGTACGTGAATGACCTAATGCATATTTAGAAACATTGTATAAAAGTAAAAACTGCCTTCATTGTATTCCCATGAGAAATGGACCTAACGTGTGAGAAACTATCTGAATGTTACACAAAAGTAGATTCCATATACAATGTAAGATTCCATCTATGCTTCCTTTGTTCCTGAGAGAAAGAAACCTATAAAGCTTTAGTTTAGACCCTCCCCCTTGTTCAGAAATTTGCTGATTGTTAAATCACTTCTGAACCTTTTTGCGCAAAAATAAAGATCTCTCTTTCACCCATGGAATTTCGTAAAAGCCCTTTATTTTTTTAAGGCTTTATTTTTCCACAAGAGTTTTATTAGTCTAGATGAAATGTTAATATATATTGCAAATCCAGGTATGATATGCCACATACTAAACAAATAAACACACACAAACAGAGAGAGAGAGAGAGAGAGAGAGACAGAGAGAGAGAGAGAGAGAGAGAGAGAGGGAAATTGGAACAGAGATTTAAAGATTTGCTCCCAAATGGGAAATATCTAGTGTAACCATTCCTTCCTGTTGCCTTGCCTTGTTTTGCGCTGGTATTTATCACCACCAGCATCCTATTTATAGTTATTTATGGAATTTTGTATTTGCCCACAATTGTCTTCACTGCAAAAAAGTGTGGAAACAATTGACAATATTACCTGTCTCAGCCCGAGGGGTGACTAAAATAGAACAAACCGCAGGGACTAAAGACCTTCCTCAGCTCAGGACGGATTTTTAGGCCCTGTGTTGGGAAAGGAGGAGGCCATTTCTGTTGTCCAGAAATTCAGTGAGTGGTGATTGGATCTTGGATTCATCAATCAAAGGACAGTAACACTGAGTTCCTCCACTTAGTTTATATTCATGTTTATGTTTATACATTTACAATCTTTCTTGCCACAGCTGTTAAGTGAATCAAGTTGTTAAGTTAGTAACAGGGTTGTTAAGTGAATCTGGCTTCTGTAAGGATTTTGATTTTCAAACTGTTGCAAAAGGCGATCGCATGACCTTCGGACATAGCAACAGTCATAAGTATGAACAAATGACAAAATTAGTGGACCAGAGGAATGCTGTGGATATAATTTACTATTACTATTATCAAATTGGAAAACATTTGAATTTTGATCACATGATCCTGGGACTACTAATAAGGTCGTAAGTGTGAAAAACCGTCATAAATCACTTTTTTCAGGGCTGTAACTTTCAACGGTCACTAAATGATCTGTTGTAAATTGAAGACTACCTGCAATATGTGTACTTGATCCTGCTTCCAATAGTTTTCCTCTACCTTCCATTGAAATTTCTCTAATCACTTCACAACTCTGAAGTCTATGCTTCAGAAAGACAGTCATGACGTTAACTACGTTTGTTCCTGTTTGGGGCATCATATCAAAGTTAGATATATTTATAAACTCAAAGAGGATACAAGGACAGCATTTAAAATATGAAAATAAATTGGAATCCTCCCATTGGAGGAAGAAAAAAAAACTGTGTGAAACAATAGATGTTTCGGAAGTAAACCTGCAAACATGAAAAAAAATAAAAATTTGTTCTGTTTCCGTGAAGCATGTGGTTTAATATTTCACTATAACTGAAGTACAAGTTGTGAAGCTGGGTACTTTGAACCTGGGCTTTATTTTTTGTTTTTGTTTCTAGTTTATAATATTTGGAAATTGAAAAAAGAATATATTTGCTACTAGCAAGCTCATTCCTGAAGAAAGAAGAAACGTCGCCATTTATTAGGGCAGCGAATGCTTCAAAATTTATTTAGAAGAGATTTAAGAACAGAGTCTCTCTCCTGGTCATTAAAAATCTCTAACTTTTTTCTCTTCGAGCCTGAAGTCACATTACCAGTAATGGTTGTCCTCAACGTAAGACTGAAATTGAGCCCTGAATTACAGTGGTAAGTTGCTGCAGTCACAAGTCGAGGCATCATGTGACTGGACCCAAATTTTCAACATTTTTAGAGTAGTTGTTAAGCAAATGCTGTAGTCGTTAAGCGAATGCTGAAGTCATTAAGTGTTCGCTGGGGCGCTGCAAACAGTTCTAAAGGTAATCAGTTGCCAAGAATCCAAAATGGGATCATGTGATCATGGAGGTGGGGATATGCGGACACCATAATGATTAAAATAAGTCATAAGTAGTTCTGGGTCAGTTCTTCATAATTTCAAATGGTCATTAGGCAAGCAGTCATAAATCGAGGACTACCTATAACGATTAAATAATAGTATTTTATTAGGGAAAACCCTCAGAGCTGTTAGATCTGTAAGGGGAGAGGAGGGGCTGCCCTGGGCCTTCCTGAGCCAGGGCATGGGAGGAGGTGATGCACGTCTGGCCAGCCTTATTGGAGCCATGTCCCAGTCAAGCGGGGCATCCACTGGCACACGTCCAGCTTGGGAGGAGCTGAAAGGGGAGCGCGAGCCCTGCACATGATCAGAGCCTCCGCAGCCCCGAGGGGAGAGTGCACTATGTCCCCTCCCCTCCCTGGAGACCCTGTGTGAGGAGCCCTTCCTTGGGCAGGGGGTTGGTCTAAAAGCCACACCCTAGGATTGTATGATTCCTTCTGTGCTTTGTGCCACAATGATGGTGCTTCTCTGTTGTTCCTGTTCCCACATGAAAGGAAGAGGCCAAAGGCCACCAAAGGAGTCAGCCACCGGGCCGCCCAGACACTGCTAAACCCAGGTGAGCTGCCCTCCTTGGGTAGGTTTAGAATGTGGCCCTTGTTTACCTAGTTGCCGAGGCAACGAGGTTGTCAGTTTCCCTGAAAAGCCACCAACCAGGGCCCAACTGCCCATTCTCCCTTCGTGCAGTGAAAGACAAACAGCTGCTTGGGGTCATGGCTGTACGGAGGTTTTTTAGAGTAAGTGTGGCCGTCTCAGCTGCCAAGAAACTGGCAGTAGTAGGGGAGAAAGTCATGCTTCGCAACTCTTCCGACTGGCTCATCTCTATTTCTCTTTTCTTCACAGAACGTCTGGAAAAGTTGTTCGGCGCTCTTCTGCTGCAGGAAGAGCGACGTAGAGGACCTTCCTGTGCCTCCTGACAGGTACCACCCCCTTCTCCTCAAACCCTGGGCATGGTGGGGCAACACTGATGGACTGCAGGGTCTCTAACAGCCTCTCCCCAAGATGGCTTTCTCTCGGCAAGCGGCTTGCAGAGGCCAAAAGATGGGAAGGCTGACTGGCTGGCTGGTCTTAGAAAGGAGAGGCAGAGCTAGATGGATATTTTTTGACATGTCATCTTTTTCTTTCGGTCAGAACTGACGAGGCACATGAACAGGTGGACCAGAAGGGAGAATGGCAGACACAGATTCGTGTGTCCGATGGACGCAGGCCTTCCTCCCAAGGGGTAAGGATGCTTCTGCGACATGGCCAGTCAGGGCTCATCCCTCATAACCGGATGGGGAAAGGGAGGAATTCTCACTTGGGGGAACCTGGCCAGCCTAGCAAAAGCAAGAGGAGCCTTTTGGATTCATGGAAAGTTCTTGATGGCTTCCTATCAGCCAAATCTTCCATGATCTGCTTTGTCTTTCCCTGTTGAATGCAGTCTTTCCCTCCTGGGGAAGATAAACGTTCCACAACATGCAGGGGACTTTTAATTTATACTTTCAATTGTTACTTGCAGGGTTTGATGGGTGTTCGTGCCACCGCCCGGAGCCCCAGGAAGGAAGAGGTGATGCCAGTTCTCATTTCAGTGAGGTAGGTGTTCGCAGATTAAGTATTCTGAAGCCCCCTAAAAGGCAGCCGCAGTAAAGCCCTAAAGAGAAGGGCTAGAAGAAACCTTTGCAGAGGCAGGGGGGGGCATCGCATGGCTAGTTTTGATCTTTGGCCCTTCATTCTCTCCCTAGAAATGAGAAGATAGCGAAGTGGAGGCCGCGGCTCTCAATCATCTAGGAGACCTGCACTGAGTCGGTAAGCCCAGACCAGCTCCTCACCATGGTAATGGCAGAAGCCCTTTCGCTGTGGATTTGTTGATATGCCAACATTTGTAATATTTGCATTGTTATTTCAGGATCCTTCGGAAGAATACCGACCAAGAGAGGTGCAGGAGGAAAGCAGTGCCTGCCTATCAAGGTAGGTAACACCTCAGAGGGTGAAGCCTTTGCAGAGAGGAGGATCTCTGCCCTCTGCCTCTGCTTCTGCTAAAGGAAGAATCTCAGGCCAATCTCTTTGGCAGGCCAGCTGGAAGGGTTCTTAGAGCCTCCACGTCACCACTTTTTAAAAAAGGGCCCATGGCTGTTTTTGATGTTTGGCTCCTTCGTTTCTCTCCCCAGAGAGGAAAAGGAAAAGCACTGGAGGCCGCGACTCCCCCCCAGATCAGAGACCTGCAGAGAATCGGTAAGGCGCGAACAACTTCTACCCCACTAAACGAAGAACCATTGTCTCTGTGGAGATGCCAACAGACAGAATCTTTGCCTTTTTATTTCAGGACGAAGAAGACCAGCCGGCGGAGGAGCAGCTCTCTCCTACTGGGGAGAAGACGCATACTTCGGAGGTAAGAAAGTCTTGGCAATGGGGCTGATGGAGGCTCTCTTGCTGTTGGCGCACAGGGCCTGAATGCACCCTATCCTTTAGCAATCTTATTGGGATGCAGAAAGCTTAGGATTTATCCTCGATACTGTCATTTGCAGGATTCGATGGAAGTCCTGGTGGGCTCCCGGAACAACAGCCTGGAGGATTTTGACTCCATTTCTGCCCTCTTGGATGAGGAGTCTGAGGGAAGCTGGGAGCAGGCTGCAGAGGCTTCGGAGGCCAGCCTTTCGTCCAGTCCGTGGGTAAGACAGACAAAGTGTTTTCTCTTGGGGAGGGATAGAGTCCCTCTATTCAGTTCTCCTAATCTGAGTGAACTGTGCTGGAGAGCTCTGGGCAGTGGATAAAGGTGACACCTGGCCCTTGGGACAAGGTACTTAGGCTAACTAGAAGCACCCAAGCTCTGTTGCGATTGATTTACTGCAAACCAGAAGGGAAGGGCCAATTCAGTGGACTGGGGTCCTAAATAGATATGGCCCACCCTGTTTATCCCTTTCGTTTTTCTGCGTGTCATCCTCTCCAGCAACCTGCTGTTTCCAGGCAGGGCTTTATCGGGCAGAGTGGGTGGGAGTGGGGATTGCAACAGAAGCATTGTTTCTGATGGCAATCCCAAATCAATCGGACCCCTTTTAGGAATTCTGAGTCTCCTTTCACTGATGGATAAAAAGTCATCATTGTCATTCACAGGATTCTCCCGAAGAAGGGGAAGCCTCGCTGGACAATGTCAGCAGCCTGGAGGAGGACTCCCTGGACCTCAGTCTCTAATTAAAAGAGGTACCTATTTTAGCCTCTTTGTGGATCAATGCCTTGCTCAAGGAAACAACGAGCTCTGACGGGCAGGGTCACCCAAGTCAGACAGGTCATAGTGCAGAGTGCTGACATAACGTGGTCCACTGGAGAAGGAAATGGCAACCCTCTCCTTACTTTTGATACCCCACAAAAAGTAAGAAAAGTAACTCCAGAAAGAACAAAGTTTGTATACTTTTATAGAAAGAGTGTGGTACTAAGAATAGCCTTTGATTCCTTCCCCAGACGCCTCTCCAGTAGGTAGATCGGAGGAGGATGAACCAGTCCCAGGCACATCAGGAGGTGAGTTGGCCAATGCCTCCGAGCAGCCAGCGGAGAGTGATTTGGCTGAAGCACAGCTGCAGCAGGAGAGCCCTGAGACGCAGATGGTTAGCTTTGAGCAGGAACTGCTTTCTGCACTATCCGAGAACAACTAGGGAAGAGAAAAGGCAGGAGCAGCAAAGGGTGGTTCTTTCACTCACTAGGAGGCAGTCTTGCCTTTCTTGATGGGCTGCACCAGAAGCTGGCAATTGAGCACAGCAGACAAATGGAGGCCATGCTGGGAACAATGCATTCATGACTAGGGGGTTGGAGTAGAAGACCTCCAAGGTCCCTTCCAACTCTTGGTATTCTGCTCTGATATTCTATCTGCATATAGACGGACGGCGGAATCAGCCCCAGCGGCGAAGCCCTGCGAGGAGCCACTTTCCAACGAGGAAGTTCCTGCGTCTTGTTAATGTTATTGTTGTAATTCTTTTTGTTGTACTTGTTGTTGTTGTGCATCTTCTTGTTTTTGTTCTTGTTGTTTGAGAATAAAACTAAAAAATTCTTTATATCTGCTAATTTAGTTTAAACCTAGTTTTATTACACTTTTGTTAGGAATAACAAACTTTTCGTTAAATGCAGAATTTCAACAAACTTCTTTGTCTGTTTTCTCGTATTTTTTCCACCGTTCTATGGGATACAGTGATTAGTATTCACTTACAATATTAATGGAAACCTGACACTTCCGGAGGTTCCTCAGCTACGCGCAAGTAGTCTCAACTTACCACAATTGATCCCCAAATTTATCTTTTAAATACAACATTTGTTTAGTGACTTTTGCCCCATTTTACGACCTTTCTTCCCACAGTTGTTAAGCAGATCACTGCAGTTGTTAAGATAGTAACACAGTTGTTAAGAGAATATGGCTTCCCCATTGTTTTTGCTTGCCAGAAGGACTCAAAAGTTGATCACATGACCCCGGGACACTGCTACAGTCATAAACATGAGTCAGTTGCCAAGCATCTGAATATCGATCATGTGACTAAGGGGCTACTGCAACGGACGTGAAAAAAGATCATAAGTCTCTTTTTTCAGTGCCGTTGTAACTTTGAACAGTCACTAAGTGAACTGTCGTAAGTGGAGGATTACCTGTACTTTCTGAACATCAACCAGTGTATTGTCTAGTAAGAAGGAGAATTTTGTTCAGCAACATCAGGAAGATCTGTCCTTGGAACATCATGATTGGAGGCACAGAAAGCACTGTAGATCTGCTATGGGGGCAGAAAGTTTGCATTCTTCCAGAAGAAGGAATTTTACAGAAGAATACCCAAGTTACACTGGCTAAGAGGCAATAATTTCTTGCAACTCATGCTAGATTGTTGCACACACTAGCAAAATACCGTATATAAGATACACAAATGGGACAACTAAAATGGCAAGGAAAGTGTATGTCCTATCCAGACGTGAACAATTTCCATGCCAGTGATTTCAATTAAACTGTAAATAAAAATGATCATGTGAATGGCAACATTGCATACCTTGCTTTGTTATTCTCTTCTCAGTAACCTTGTTAATTGGTACTACATTTTCCATTGAAAAAGATGTGAAGCTTCACGTTTAGTAAGAATAAGAATATAAGGTATTTAGGGCTTGGATTCAAAGGCTTGATGTTTGCCCTCATGCATCTGCACTCATGCAATTGCATTGTGGGCAATCAGCAACCAGATCACATTCAGAGCTTTTTGCAGCATCCCACAATCACGTGACTACAGCTTACAATGTTTTGCTGGCGTTGACTACCAATATCTGGTAAAAAATGCCCATTCTGAAAAATGGGTACACTTAACGACTGCAGCTTTCATTTAATGACCGCTGCAAACACCGTTGTAGAATAGGTTTGGTCACATGATGTCCTACTTAATCACCAGTAAGACTTACCGTCTTAATTCCAGACTGGTATTAGGTGCCAAATGCTATTACTCTTTTTTTAAAGATATGAAAGATTATCAGTATTATCCTCTGTGCATCTCCATCTACAAAACCGCATTTGCATACAGCTCTGCAATTCAACCCCTCTAACCGATTTTCTCTGGAGAGGTGAGCGCAACTCCCAGACTGGCCATTTCTCTCCATGTAAATGGTGGCCTGACAGCGACTGCAATCTGACCGCTTACAGAGAGGCACCAATTTCATCTGGCACAGGCAAACACATGTCAACTTCCCAACCAAAAGTACAAGTAGTGCTCGACTTACAACCACAATGGAGCCCAAAATTTCTGTTGTCAAGAGAGACATTTGTTAATGGAATTTTGCCCCATTTTATGACCTTTCTTGCCACAGCTATTAAGTGAATCACTCCAGTTCATAAGCGAGTAACCTGGTTGTTAAGTGAATCTGGCTTCCCCATTGACTTTGCTTGTCAGAAGGTCACAAAAGGAGGTGACATGACCTTGGGACACAGCAACGGTCATAAGTATGAACCAGTTGCCAAGCATCTGAATTTTGATCACAGAATCATGGGGATGCTGCAAAGGGGGTAACTGTGAAAAACGAACATATGTCACTTTTTTCAGTGACGTTGTAACTTCGAATGGTCACTAAATGAACAGTGGTAAGTTGAGGACTTCCTGTACTTTGGAGGGCTATTTCTTCTATAGACAAGGAGCACTGATGATGTCTTGCAATATACATCTTAAAATAAATAACCAACCTGGAAACATTTTTGGAATACGATTTTACTTACAGAAGAAAGATTCTATATTTACCATTTAATAATAGGCTGGAAGATAAAACCCCAAAAAGATATTTATCAGAGGCCATAAAAGTCACTTAGAAGCTGAATTTAACAGAATGACAGAGTTGGAAGGGACCTTGGAGATCTTTTAGTCCAACCTCCTAGAATTCCAGAAGTGAAGAAGGGGTTTCCAAGTTGAAAAAAAAGTACTCATGTGTTGTTGTTGTTTTCATCAAAGGAGTCAATTTAGCCATCTCTGCTACCTCCATCAACTTTTGCAACCATTCCTCCATTGTGGAGATCGAAATGTCCTTCCCTTTTTGTACATAAAGTAGTCTGGCTTCCATCAACGTATATAACATTGAAGTTCCATCTTTTTTTCCAAGTCTTTTTTCCATTAAGCCAGAAAGAACAGTTTCTGCTTTTACCTTTATATTCACTTTCAGAATTTTCTGTATTAGAATAGAAATCCTACTCCAATATTTCTTTACTTTATCACATGTCCACCGTAAATGATAAAAGCTCCCTTGGGCCAGGATGTTTTTCAGGGGGCTGTGAATGTAGACACATGAGTTGCCTCTGGGGTGATGCGTATTTTGGTCGTTGATGATGCCGACAATATTGCAATGATTAATGTTAATTATTATTTATTGCCAAAAGTCATATTGCAAATGGGTACCTATATATATTGAAATAGAAAAAGCTTTATTGATTATCTAGAGATAACTCCCAACTTTTCAGCATTTTCCATGTTCCCCACATCCAAATGCCACTCAAGCACTCCTCTAGGCCGCTGACCACAGTAACCGAGCTACACAAATATTGTATAGTAAGGATGGGTTGTCAAAATGAAATACAATAACAGAAGAACGAATCCAGAATGCAATAGGTCTGTCACTAACAACTATGGAAAACCCGCTACTTGCCATTTCCACGATTCTTCTCATAAAGTCCACTCGTTTGCTAAATCCACTAAATACCATGACTGAGCAGCTACTGTTTTACCATAATATCCTACAAAACAGAGAAAGGCATGATAAAAAAGAGAATCTAAGATGTCATGTTGATATAAATTAAAGAAGTGCGAATGGCTATAGCTCTTTCCCACCTTTACTAAGCCGTTGTTTTAGTAGAGTGTATTGAGAGGAAACGAAGAACCCTGCAAAATTATACTGGGTTATCCAGTTGGTTACATGGAGGTTAAGTGAATCTGGCTTCTGCATTGATTTTGCTTTTCAAACTGTTGCAGAAGGTGAACATGTGACCTTAGGACACAGCAAGAGTCATAAGTATGAACATAAGTATGCCAAGGATCTAACGTTTGATCACGTCAAACTAGTAAAGTGGGAAAGAAATAGAATAACATAGAATAAAGAAGAATAAAGTATAATAATAATAATAATAATGAAAAATCACTAAAAGCAAAAATCATGTGTCTGCATAATCTCTGAAAGAAAGCTGTGTTGGCCAAAAGCTGTATTAACAGTACATGAATGTCCTAATGCTATGACTATGAAGGCTTATAGGCCTACAAGTCTTGTTAATTCTAGGGTGTATTTTAATTCCTTGCTTGATCCCCTGTCTTATAGCCATGATTCGGAGGATCTCAGAAAGTACAGCCCAATTAACAGCAAAACATGAAATAATGTTAGCCTTATGGGAATATAAAATGGTACCTTCAGGAGATCCAGAATCAAAGGTAGAATAATGGAAGTTTAAGCTAAAAAAAACTTCCAAAAGGGGGGAGTAAAGTGGGAAAGAAATAGAATAACATAGAATAAAGAAGAATAAAGTATAATAATAATAATAATAATAATAATAATAATAATAATAATGAAAAATCACTAAAAGCAAAAATCATGTGTCTGCATAATCTCTGAAAGAAAGCTGTGTTAGCAAAAGCTGTATTAACAGTACGTGAATGACCTAATGCATATTTAGAAACATTGTATAAAAGTAAAAACTGCCTTCATTGTATTCCCATGAGAAATGGACCTAACGTGTGAGAAACTATTTGAATGTTACACAAAAGTAGATTCCATATACAATGTAAGATTCCATCTATGCTTCCTTTGTTCCTGAGAGAAAGAAACCTATAAAGCTTTAGTTTAGACCCTCCCCCCCTTGTTCAGAAATTTGCTGATTGTTAAATCACTTCTGAACCTTTTTGCGCAAAAATAAAGATCTCTCTTTCACCCATGGAATTTCGTAAAAGCCCTTTATTTTTTTAAGGCTTTATTTTTCCACAAAATTTATGGCAATTTCTCCGCCGGGACATTTTTAAGGGCTTTTAAGAAAAAGGATTTAACCTTCCAAGATGGATTGCCCTGGTGGGGCCCCCCCTCTCCTAAACGATGACAGCTCCAAAAGCCGGCTTCGTAGCTCTTGACTACGAGGAGACTTCGACGGAAGGAAAGGGAATTAAGCCATCAGGAAGCATTCCAGTCTAAGGATCCGTGAGGGTGACAGACAGATCTTAAATCAACAAAGGAGTCTGGAAAACGCCTGCAGGCAAGTATTGTAAAACAAGGGAAACCTGATCCCTTTTGGATCGGAAGAGGGGACTGATCACCCCCTAGAAGGCAAAGGTGGCGTCCTTAAGCCTTCAATAGGCAGGATTGTGTGGGAGGTTAAACCATTGTAGCTCATGCTGAGTGATCAATGGTAGTGTATTAGAGAAATGGGTGGGAAAAAGTCAAAGGAGAGCGTTGACCAGATGCCACTCCAGTGCATGTTAAAGAATTTCAAAAAGGGTTTTTTTAGGGATTATGGAGATCCAAAACCAAATCCAGCCATGTTAAAAAAATTCTGTGAATCTGAGTGGACTGCCCTGGGCGTAGGGTGGCCAAAAATGGGATCGGCGAATCCCGAACTCGTTGCACGGGTTCATCAAATTGTGACTGGAAATGGTTATTGGGACCAGTATCCCTATATTGACCAATGGAAAATCAACATTGCAGAAAAACCGAGGTGGTTAGCAAAATGTCAGATAGAGTGTGCAAAGATATATTTGGCAAGCCAAAAAGCCAAGCCTCAAACAAAAGCTAAGATTTTCAGCCAGGAAGATAGGGAGGAAATTGCCAGACCACCCCCCTACATTCCTAGAAGAGAAGAAGGGAGAATAAATCAGCAAATTCCATCCCTTCTGTCTGAAAGAGAAGCCTAATTTCAGCCAGAAGCCGGTGAGGAAGGAAAATTAGCAACAGCTGGATCCCTTCAAGAAACAGATAAAAGCGTGAATAACTTTGAAGAAAACAAAACAGTTTCTAGCCGCACCAGGAGCAAGTTAGAAATAAAAACAGAAGAAAATATTGCCCCTCTAAGAGAGGTGTTGGTTCCTGGACCAGATAACACTAATATTTCAATGCTACAATATGTTCCGTAACTGTGACAAGGAGTAGGAACGCAAATCAGATCAAAAAGAAAAAAAGAAAGTTGAAATGTTAGCCGTGGCATTGGGAGGAACATGCCTAGGACCCAATCAGTGTGCCATCTGTAAACAAGAAGGACACTGGCAAAGGGAGTGCCCCCAGAGGAATGGCCAACCCAGGGGACAATCTCGCCAGTATGGAAGAGGAAGAGGATGAGGATTTAGAGGGACTTTCCAGAGAGGCTTCAGAAAGAGCTTCAAAGGAAGAGGGCATCCAGTTTATCCCAATCA